AAAATCTTCATGTCTTGAAGACTTATCCTTCTGCTTCGAGGTTTTAACTCATCAACTCTCAAACAAGCTCAGAGATTATCTTCTAGGCTGTGGTTAATTCCCAATTCCCCTTTCCTTGACTGAACCAACTTTAGTGGAAGTTATAGAACAAAATACTGTTGATTGTCTTTGAAGTGTCTTTTCGCTTAATTTATTTACTCCCGAGTCCTTGTGTCTTTCGCTTAATTTATTTACTTCCGAGTCCTTGCCTGTTCCCCGGTTTCCCTTTTAATTTTCAAGCCATTTAGAATCCAATGTGATCAACAACCAAACAAGATTTGTAGGAAGACTAGCGTTTCTCTTCCCGAAGTTTGCTGACAAATAATCTTTCCCTTTCAATGTCAGGTTTCAATTTGCCCTATTCTGTGGTATACTTCTAATTATGATGCAGTATTAATTGGATTCAAGTTGGTAATGTATACTATCTTTTATCAGAAGAAGGATTAAATAGGTATAGGTAACTTGTAAAAGTTTCGATGTTGTCCTATTTAATTGTTTTAGTCGGGCAAGAAATCAACTAGATAGATCTAAGATTGTTGTCTCCTTTAGATTTTGCATTCGTTGGATTTAGGTTTGCATCAAGTTTCGGATTAAATTAAATTATTTGGATTTCATTCCCCCCCCCCCTTTATTTTGTTTTATATTCTTTCATTTTAAAAGAGAACTTTGTATAAGGTTTCTCTTCTGTGGTGCTACACTCCTATAGTAAAATGGAGCATTCAAGGGAATCTCACACATTTCTTTTCAGATAGTCTACATATTTGATTAGTTAAATTCCACAAACTAAAAATTCACGAAATTACTATTAACGGCGTCAGTGGAATGAGCAACATCGAACAGCATAAAAGGATGGTAGTTCCTCGAGTTGAAGAAATTGACAAACTCTGTTGAGGTGCAAATTAAATATCAGGTCCTAGTTTATGAACTAAACCTTTTCACCCTACTTTGTCTTATGAAGAGAAAGTGGATGGAGGACTGGTGATTACTTGTTCTCGTGCCAGGATCCCTGTGCTGTATGCCTGGATATGCAGTGTACGGTAGCTGCAGAAGGTAACTTAATCATTTCATGTAACAGATCCTCCCACAGCATATTTATTTCAGTTTTAATCACTGGTATCAATGTAGTCTATAGGATTACATGAATTGATATGGATTTTAGTTGTAAGGGGATGAGGAGATGAAATGGTATCACACACGTTATTCAGGGGGGGGGGGGGGTTTGTCGCAGAGAGACTCATTCATAGAAACATTTTTCTTCAAGGACAAATAGAGTTAGGTGAGGTTGAGAAGAAATGTCAATTTTGAGAATTTTGAAATCAGGTTAGAATTGCTAATGATACTGTAAAAATTCCTTTTCTCTTAATGTGCACTTCGATCCATACAGCATACTTTGAAATCCATTTCTTCGTTACATCCCTGAATTTTCATGTCAAAGTGTCGGAATTCTTTTTTTTTCATTGATGTTTATGGGACATATACCAGATGTTACTGAAATCAGAATTCACTGTTATATTGCCCATGGTGCAGGTTGTGATCATGATTTCTGCACACAATGTGCCTTATACCTCTGTTCTACAGATAACACTACGAATGTAGCTAAAGGTCCGACTGGCTCAATTGCCTGTCCTCTGCCGGCACGGAATAGTATCATTCGTCAAGCTTCTTGGAACGAAACCAACAGCTAAGGCAGTTGTAAGAACAAGTTTGTCCCTATCTTTCTGCACATGTTCTAGTGAGATGCCAGAACCAACCTCCATGACAACCCCACTTTGCAAGCCCACGGTTCATTGCACGCAAATTTCTCACCCCGGATCTTCGTTCTGCAGCATAAGTCGTCAGAGTTTCCCATCGATGAAAATCCACCATAACCTTTGCATTGGAGCTCCGAATACTAGTCCTTTAGTTCCCTTCCCCACCGGCCAGAATTTACAAGGCTTAATACGCTCGGTTTCGGAGGGCAGAAGGTCGTGGTTCTCAACATTTAATCAATGTGTAACTACAGGAAATGCATGCTGATATTTCTTGTGTTTTTCTTTTACATTCTTTGTTTCTATCCGATAATGGTGGATTGCTCCCTCTAATTTTGGCTATAATTTTAACTGAAAATTCATGTTGATAATGGTTCCTGGTTGTGTAAATGCAAAGGATGTATTTTACCGGTTATTATAAAATGAACCAACGGGTTCAGCTTGGCATTCACATGATTTAGACAGTTACCTGTTTATCATATAGATTCTTGGTTACATAAAATGCAAGTCTTCGATGTTCATTAATTTTTTTTTTGGTTTAACCATCAATATCTGATTTATTGATTGATTATCTCGGATCAAGTTTTGTAGAAGTTCATTATGGGGACGATCCTTTTAATTTAGTTTGTTACATTCGTAAAAATTAGGATTCAAACTCCTAACCTAACTTAAGAAATGTTTATTATTTTTTAATTTCATTTATATTATTGGGTAAAGTACACAAATAGTCCTTCGACTATAGGACATTATTTTGTTGAGTCTCTTGATTATTACAAGTTACAAATTGATCCTCCGACTATAGGACATTGCTTTGTTGAATCCTTCGACTATTAAAAATTATAAAATAGTCACTTGACTATTTATATGTTCTAAACTCATCATTTTCCTTTAAAAAAAAATTGACGTTTGTCTGAATTGAGCGATAACATGCTGAATGTGATACAATAATCGTTTAAGATTCTGCGATATGATAATAATATATTAGAGGTGGGTCTTCTTGAAGGCAACAAGTTTAGACCAACACAAGTGGACTTAGTGAACCTAGATCACATTCACATGGTCTATATAAAACCTTCTAGGCCGAAGCTAAGCCCTAGAAGTCACAAAGTTGTATGATTATTTTATGGATGAAGTTAATAATGTGCATAATTTATCTGGTTTTGTGTTAAAACATGTGCAAATCATCCTCAATGCGCATGGGGAAGCCAAATTATGTATGCAACCACTCTCTTGTACCAAGTTAATATACACATTTTAATTTCATTCATTAGTTAAATATTTGCATAAATTTACATGAACCAATCGACATTAGTAGTTAAGGGATTGTTGTTATCTTTTGAAGTTTTAGGTTCGAACATTGTTTATATAAGAGTATGAGCATTCATTATCAATTGATTGAAAGTTTTTAAACAAATAATACCTTATATTTATTTCGGATTTATAAAAAAATATTTATGCAAATTTAAACTTATTTTGGATTGTGTTCATTAAAACAAGATTCAATGGAGTTTTAAAAAAAATGCAAAATGACGTGAAGTTCCCAACCGTTATGGGAGTCAAAGAAGCGAGCCGTTCGCCGACCGCAGCGGGGTCGTGTCTGTTGCCCATGCGTTTCAATTTACAAGAACTTGTTACAGTTTTGATTTTTAATTGGGTAAATCATCTATTTGTGTCATTAACTTGTTATTTAGTTTTTATTTTGGTTATCTAATTATTATTAGTTTTAAAAACATATCTAACATAATGTTTTGATTTTATTTTGATCACTCATCGTTAAAAAATTAACGCTGATGTTGATGTATCACCAAAAGATAATATTAAACCAACATCGAAAATAATAAAAAAGTACCATGTCAACACCTTTATTAATTTTTTAATGAATGTAATCAAAACAAAACGTAATGTTAAACATGATTTAAAAAAATAATTAAATGATCAAAACAAAAACTAAATAATAGATAAATAACTAAATACATAATTTACACTTTTAATTATTTGTTTTATTTGTTTATTTACCAATTAAAACTTTATCAGCTTGCTTTAACTTCACGCACTCTATCACGTTACCCACGATAATAATAATAATAATTTATTAGAATAATGATCACTTTTACTCATGTAGTAGATTCAATTTATCTTTTTCGTTTTTATCATATTTTCGTATCAATTTAGCATTCAAAATTGTTTAATTGCATAATTATATATTCTACCCCTAACTTAAAACCTTAAATTGATAACCCTAAACTCTAAACCATAACATCTAAACCTTAAACCTTAATATTTAACTTAAAACTCTCAATTTAGGGTTTTAAATTAGGGGTAAAGTATAGAATGCTATTAAACAACTTCGAATGCTAAATTGATGAGAAAATACGATAAGAACAAAAATAATTAATTAAGTTTGCTACATAGGTGAAAGTTACCTTTTTGCCAATTTATTATTATTATTATAAGCAAATTCTACTATACAAAAAGGTAATTTCAAGCAAAATACAGCCCAATTAAATAATTTTTATTTTATTTTCAATGATAATATGACTAAAAAAGGTAATTTTATTTTATAATGGCATTTTAGAATTTTTTTTTGTTAATTTTTTAATGTTGACCAAAATGCAATATTAGATATGACTTAAAAACAATTGGATAATCAAAATGAAAATATGAAAATAGATAGAAGATTAAATAAGTACTTTATCCAATAATATTTATAGATAAAAAAACACATTTGTTTTTCTTGTTCCAACATAAATGACCTTTGGAGAAGTCTAAGGAACGACAATCTAATTTAAGGTTAAAAAACGATGATTTTGAGACCCTACAAAAAATGTGATAAAAATCATAACATTTTAAGTTATACGCAACCTAAAATGTTATATTTTTTCTAATATTTTTAGTTCAACAAAAAATGTTACATTCTTCATAACATTTTCGATTAACAATCGAAAATAGTATATTATTCGTAACATTTTATATTCAACCGAAATATTAGTAAAAATATAATATTTAAAGTTGCGTTGAATCTAAAATATTAACTTTCATCACATTTACCTTAAATTAGACTGTCCATCCCCTTACCTTTGAATGCAGACCAAAATCTTGAGCTTCTAAGCTGTATGTAGTTCCGAGACAAGTACAAGTGATTCATAATTCTCCCTTTATTTATCAACTACAAAGCCAACCACCCAAACTATTTTTCCTCTCTCGGAGAGAAAGATGAACAGCTTTGAGTCCAAAAGATCACAAGACAACTTGAAAAGAATATGGCAAAACACCAGATTCGTCTCTTCTTCTTCACACTTAAGCTTGTCGTCTAATCCTAGGCGTTGTTTCCCTTGTCTCGATGACGATGATCTTGTTTCAACGGTCGTCCCCCTCGTGACCGTGGTGCTCGAAGGACGCTCTATCTGTCAGCGCATCAGCCTCCACAAGCATGGAAGCTACCAAAGCCTCGCCAAGGCTCTCAGGCAGATGTTTGTGGACGATGATGGAGTCACCTCGGACAATGATCTTGATCTTTCCAATGCTGTTCCCGGTCACCTCGTTGCATATGAAGACATGGAAAACGATCTTCTTCTTGCAGGAGACCTTGATTGGCAGTACTTCTTCATCCATTTCTTTTTCATTCTAAAAACTTTGATTTTGACCCAGGCTTTAATCATTGTTGCACTGTGTATATGTATTGAAATGAACAGGAATTTTGTACGCGTGGCTAAGAGAATCCGGATACTGCCGGCCAAGGGGAGCTCAAGGAAAGGAAGAGGAGGGGCATAGTTGGTTGGAATTTTCACAATCATTTCAATATATCGATGTCATAAATCTTGAAAAGTTAGATAAAATAGTCGTTTTAATTCTTATTTTTTTAGAATAATTTAGTCTTTTACGTTTTTTTATAAAAAATAATTTTTTTTGAAATATTAATCGTTTATTGACTAATTATTTTCATTATTAGAGGGAATTTTCTACTTAAAAATAAAATATAACAGTTTTAAAATATTTTAAATATATCGACTAAAATGACTATTTAATCAAATATTGAAGTTAATTTTTGATATTATACCTATATTTTAGTTGTATGATGTATTTCTCTTTCTCCTCATGTTTATGGATGGCCTTATATATATATATATGTAAATGTAAAGAAAAATCCCATTTTCAGTGGGATCTTGAAATGTTCTGTTCTCTCATTGATCGTCAATGCATTGCTATGTTTTCAGATGAAACGACCTCTGGCATAGGGCATGTAAAGAAAAATCCCAGTTTTCGTAAGTTCCAAAATAGTCTGAATTGAGACAATTTTTTCATTAATATTCGAAGTTTACTACTTATTATTATTACTTTATCTGACACACATTGCCATTAATACAAGTGTTGGAACAAGTTTTGGGTTTCTAGAGCTAGACTGTTGTATTTTTTTAATTAAAGCATACGACTATCAGAAAACAAATTCTAGTTAATCTGCTTATATTTAATTTTGGTGTGTGCTCTGCTGATTTGGAATAGTGAGCATCTAATGACAAGTAGTTTTGGTTTTATGTCCAACGGTAGCATCGAATTATTTTCCGGTGGCACAATAACTAACAGTCCACATAGTTTGATTAATCAAATTCGAAGGATCTATAGATTAACATATTTGACCTATAATGATTCAGAATTAATTTATTAAGGGGCCGGATTCTTTTGAAACATAAAAACAATCCCCAACACTTCATTTTCATTCAAAAATTCACATTTCAAACGAGTTTATTGTCTTAAATCAAGAAAATAGCATTTGAATAAGGCAAACTCGGGAGAGGTGCGAATGAAAACAAGTATAAAATCAACATGCAAACACCGTAATGGGGATATGATGTTTAAAGAACGCTTGCTAAGGAAGGCACCAACCTAAATAAACGTTCGGAGGAGTACGAAATGGGCGCTTGCCACCCAACAACGCATCAAATATACGTTGGGCGAGACATGCAACCATAATCACTCATCGATAACACCTCATGAAAAGCTTCGTAATTAATATAACGCCAATTATTATTATGAGTACGTTGTAATTGTATGTAAATAAAATAACATAATAGATAAGATCCTCGACCATGCAAATTTAATTGGATAGGTCGAATGCCTGCAACCATAACACGATCATGCTATTGCTCAAAGGTATTCTTAGTTTAATGCTTAATTCAGAAAGAATAAGCTACTATATCCTGACATGTATAAAAATGGTAGTTCCGGTGACATTAGAAGAAACATTTTACAGTGCAACATTAAGAACCTGCTATACTTCCTTGTAAGTTTTATACAACCTTTACCAGGAGAGGTTAAGGAATGGATACACTTTGAGTTAGTATCCGTTCAAAAATATTATTATTCATTTGATAATGAATGTTCTTATATCCCTATAAATGTTGTGTTCGAACTCGAACCTCAAGGGATGACAACAACCCCTTAACTTTGGTTCTCGTAGATGAAAATAGTTAAACTCCCGATATTAGAGTTTTTAGTGTAGTTGTCTTCCTTGTATACTTTGTTCTAGTCAATGATTATTTACATTATATAAAATCAATCTGGTGTTGGAGAAACAGGCTTAATGGACAAGCAATGGTTATCATTGATGCCATTAATGATGATGTACAAAAACACAAGATATTACTATCCACTTCCATGGGCTTAATATATGTCACATAGCATTCTTTTTTCTTCTGTCGAAAGCTTTGCCTCTTCCTGTCAAATCTTCCAATTTTTTTTCTGAGTCCATGTCTCCAACATATATAAACATGGGACAAAACATTGCTCATATTCATCATCTTCATCAAAACCATGATGAAGACGCAGAAGAAGAAGAAGAAGAAGAAGCAATTTCAGATACCAAAAACAACCCAGAAAATGATCTCTTGGTAAAAGTGTCTGGAACTCGAAGATCATTATCCGAGGCTGCCCCTGAGTTCTTCGAGTTTATCAGCGATCTTAGCTTCGACATGTGCCCAGCTGACGACATAATCTTCTGCGGAAAACTCATTCCTCTGAACCAACAAACACCAAAAGATTATTCTTTTGAAGAAACCAGGAAAACCCATGTTTTACACAAACGATCCGAGTCACTCTCCGATTTACCCAGCGAATCTATAACTCGCTCGGAAATCACGAAAGACTACACTAAAATTCTCAGAAACAGTCGTTCCTTGGATTATAGAAAGCTTCGACGTTATGACATGGAGAGGAATACTTCAACAAGAAGCGCCAGAAAACCCGAAGCCTCGGCGATGAAAGTTAATAAACGAAGGTGATATGTTTTCATGTTTGGAATGGTCAAATTTCCACCGGAAACGGAGCTTAAAGATATCAAAAACCGACAGTACCGTCGTAATCCGTCCGTTATGTTTCCAACTATGGAAGATGGCGGAAAAAAACTGTGCTGTAACCGGAGCTCCGGCAAGGATTCTTTTTGCTGGAGTTTGTTAAAAGCGTTGAGTTGCAGAGATCATAGTAGCGTTGCGGTAGTCACGTCGTTGTGGATGCCTCAAGCCTAGTTTTATTTTTCGGATGTTCATTTTCGCCGGTGGATTTTGCTTGGGAAGGCTTTTCATAGATGAGAGCACGAATTTAAATTGGGGTTACAGTTATTGTCGCGTTTTCAATTATAATATGCTTATTACTATTATAAATATAACAAATATTATTATAATTAATATAAATATTATAATGATGCTTTTTTTATAAAAATTCGTACAACTTATTAGAAAACATAATAATTATTATTTTTAAGATATTTTTTTAAATTTTATTGTAATAAAAAATGGGAGTAACGGCACGCTAATGTCACAATTGATTGTTACTCGTTAAATTGTAGTAATAATCTAACATTATTTATGTAATTCTACTTCACACTTCAAATGATATTACCGTTATATAACTATTGATATTTCACTATTCGACTACCTTATTGAAGGGGACTATCAAAGACAATCGTCCCTTAAATAAAATAAATTCTCATATAATATAAATATTTTCTTTATATTTTCTATTAATAATTTATTTTCGTCTTTTAAAATTTTATAAGTTTATTTTTAACATAAAATGATATATCTGTCCCTCTAAAATACGCATGGTAAAGACACTAATTAAGTAAGACATGTTATCTAAGGCTTTTGCTGTTTTTTTTAGCGAAGTTACCATTTCATTTCTTTTGTACTTTATTTAGTTTAATAGCAATAAAATTAGTTTAATTTCTAAGTTGTTAACCACTTTATATTTAGAAGTGCATATGACATTACTATTACTTTAAAAATATCATAATTAGGGGGGTAAATGTAGGGAGTCCAGCTCTTACTAACCAGATGAAACATAACAAATTTGACAACATATAACTATAATTAATTAAGTTAAACTCGACTTCATACTATATTAATTGATGTGTAAAAGTGATTTAAGACTGAAAAATCATTGATGAGCAATCATGAATATTTGAGCCTGACTTCCTCTTACAGGTGTTGATGGTAACTGACGGGATTGATTAAAGTGGTAAACACCTTGATATCACTTAAATATGTTTCAAGTTCGAGTCCTTGTATATATAGAAAATTCCGGCTAAAAGACTCACTCACCGAAATCAAATATGTAAAGCGAATCGGTTCAAATTTACCACGATGAGATTTAGTGGTAGTAGGTGGCAAAGTTGCTTTGTTACCTATTCCATTAGGAACCGCAAATTTTTTGGTCCATCACATTCATGCATTTACAATTCATGTCACGGTATTGATACTCTTGAAAGGTGTTCTATTTGCTCGCAGCTCGCGTTTGATACCGGATAAAGAAAATCTCGGTTTTCGTTTCCCTTGTGACGGGCCTGGAAGAGGGGGGACATGTCAAGTATCCGCTTGGGATCATGTCTTCTTAGGACTATTCTGGATGTACAATTCAATTTCGGTAGTAATATTTCATTTCAGTTGGAAAATGCAGTCAGATGTTTGAGGTAGTATAAGTGATCAAGGGGTGGTAACTCATATCACAGGAGGAATTTTTACACAGAGCTCTATTACTATTAATGGGTGGCTCCGCGATTTCTTATGGGCACAAGCATCCCATGTAATTCAGTCTTATGGTTCTTCATTATCTGCATTTGAGTTTCTTTTCTTAGGAGTTCATTTTGTATGGGCTTTTAGTTTAATGTTTCTATTCAGCGGACGTGGTTATTGGCAAAAACTTATTGAATCCATCGTTTGGGCTCATAATAAATTAAAAGTTGCTCTTGCTACTCAGCCTAGAGCCTTGAGCATTGTACAATGACGTGTTGTAGAGGTAACCCATTACCTTCTGGGTGGAATTGCCACAACGTGGGCATTCTTCTTAGCAAGAATTATTACAGTAGGATAATGGCTAGGAGATTTAGTCAAGGACCCCACTACTCGTCGTATTTGGTTTGGTATTGCTACCGTGCATGACTTCGAGAGTCATGATGATATTACTGAAGGGTGGGGGGAGGCGTTGTTGATGGTAGATTTTCATGCGGAAATAAAGATCAATTTAGTTGATGCATGAAGCAAAGTGGGTTTGAGTACGTAGTAGTGCTCCATGTACTTAGTTTGTCCACAATGATAATGCGAGCAATTATAATCTCTCCTAATGAAAGCAAAAGAGTAAGTAATTGAACTCCCTTAGTCCCTTTCTATGTTGGGTGCAACATGTTTGACCATTTATTCCAAAATCTTCAACGAAATATTAATTACTACTGAAATTTTTGAATATTTAATTTTATTTCTAAATTATGATTCTTATTTTAAATTGATATTTAAATTTTTAAACATTCTTATTTCATCTCCAAACTATCGGCATATATTAATCACGTCTCATCTTCATAAAATTGTTATTAAAATTATTAACTGACATGTAAAGAATGATATGCGTTATGTAATAATATGATGTGATATAAATGATAATTAATATTAACTAGGTTTAATGTAACAACTTAAATTCAATTCGATCAAAAATCAAAAGATACAAATTTCACACGGAATCACTGAAGTGATTAACTATTTTTTTTATTTAAAATCTCATTATGCAAAACGTTTAAAACATAATCTTCTCATCAACAAGGATCAGTGAGTGTCTTGGGTTGATGTATTCATTTGCAATGCAAGGTGTTAAAGGAGGGGTTAAGATTAGGCTGTTCACCTAAATGAAGTCCTAAGTGTAAGTTAAATCCTTCTTTTACTTAATTTTGGAAAGGGATCAATCCATCTCTTTTTAAAAGAATCGATCCTTTACAGAAAAGATCAATCCCTTGAATTTTGATTTACGTGGAAACATTTAGAATTTTAATTTTGTCTACTATGATGTGTTTTTAATTTTGTAATGCTTCCTTTGTTGTGTGAAGGTTGATTTATTTAAAAGAAAAATAAATAGAAATGCACGATTTTAGGCACATTTTATTTTGGATCATTTTGATGACTAATACGATCTCGACCTGGTTTGGGTGTTACACATTTTTTTTTTATATATATTTTTCTCTTTTTCTTTCCTCTAGCCGTCAATAATCTTCTATTTTAAAAAGAACAATATTATTTGAGTTTTGCTTTCTTATTGCGAGTATACGAAATTCGAAAGATTTTAAGAACCTTGAGGAACGACATTTGTTTTTTACGATTACATCGTTTCAAATAAATTTACTTTTAAGACAATTATTTATATTCATATAAATCTACTTTTAAGACAGTTATCTATACAATACAATAATCATGGTCTTTTATTTTATTTATTATTTGATATACTAAATGCTAACATTTTCATTTTTCAGTAGTATATTTACCAACAACATTTCATTGTTTAAAGGTTACAAGCAAATAGTTTTTTTAAGTTATTTGATCACATTTTGGAAATTGGACGTTCGAGATAAAACTTATAAATTCGATAGATGTGTTTACACCCGATACGTTCTATTGCTTCTGATAGATTTATAAATTCTTAAACTTATGGTACAAATCAAACGACCTACAATCAAACTACCTTAGTGATTATAAAACAATATACCCCTTGTTCATTTTGAATATTCTACAAATGTACACAATTCTGATAGTTGTTCAAAGTCCTTTGCATCCTCATTTAATATGTGTGCTAGGCAATCCCATTTCCTTAAATGATTTATGTTACAATTTTTATCGCCCACAACACTAAATAATCCTAGGCGCAAATCTAGATGGGATTTAACCTAAAATCTAAGCCATTAGTAACGCATGTTCTAAAAAAATATGACAATCATGAATAATTGAGCACAGAGAACTACCATCTCATGAATATCCCACTGCTCATTTATGTTCTTTCCATTCATCCAAAGATCACACTTCAGGTCATTTAACTATATTCCAAGAACCATGGAGTGATATCAGTGGTAAGAGTTAATGTTATTCTTCCTAAAGAACCTGGTTCGAGCAACTGCGGCTACAGGCGTTGTTAATAGACTAAGATATAACTTCTAGCCTAGGAGAAAAGTAAAGGCTGCACCATTTCAGATCTACTGCAAATTGAACAAAACCCTAAATCAAAAAATTATTTGAAAGTAATCTCCATAGGTATAATAGTTTTTCAACTCACCAAACTCTGGCTGGTCTCAATTGCATCCGTCATGACACAATTATTTGAAAGAAAATACACTAGGCCACACATTCTCATTGTCTCCCACTACAAAAGAAGAGTTCAAACTTGGACTAAATCTAACAGCACCATTATTCTAGCTTTTAACCATCATGACCTACTTATGTCTGGCAAAACTAAACCAGAGGCAGAAATTTAAGAACACATAAGGAGGGATTCCAGAAATAAAGACAAGAGATACACTCCAGAAACAAAATCAGTGTTTTGTAACAATGTTGAAACTAGTCGAGCTTACCTACAGTTCCGAAAGAATATAATGTACTCCATAAGAGAATCCAAAATGCAAATTGATACAATATTTATTTCAGAAGCCGCCAGTGGAAATTTAATGCTCGACAATAAGAAACAGAAGCTTTCACAGAAGTTGTTCTAGATTACAAGCAAAATATCCAGTAATTCTAAAAAAATTACTAACTCATATATCGTCTCAAAAAGGAATATTAAAAGAAAACAACATTTTTTTATGGAAATAATAATCTTGCAGAGTTCAATTGCAAATATAAATCCCACTCTGATACCGATGATTCACCTCATAAAAATCTGTCTTACCTTCAGAAGCAGGCTTCAGACAGACCCAGACAATGAAGTGGCTCCTTGCACTGAAAATTTTACATAACCAACAACTTCTAGTTCTTCATCA